CTGCATTTTTGTTACATTCCCCCCCCCTCAAACTACCTTCAATCTGAATTCAGAAAAAGAAGGACCTAGCTGGTAGGTAATGTTTGAACAACCAGCTTTTAGGACAAAATCTAAGCTCCTGCCACAATGAACTGCTGGTGATGCATGGGCAAGAAACTCCCTTTAATGGCTATAGAGTTTAAAATGTTTCTAATTACACTCTATTGTAAGTAGCAATAAACAGTATGAAACCAATAAAGTGCATATTGCCTTTCATTTATTGTTCAGGGTGATAAATCTACTGCATTACGAGAGGGGTGAATTTTTTTTATTTTTTATTTTCCTAATAGCTTTGCATCCAAAAATTGGAAAGAAAATGAAATATAATAACAGACGCAAAAACTGCAATGTTGTTACAAAAGGGCAATTTGCACTTGCAATTTGGAAGGAAATTGCTTGCTTGGGTTCAATCAATTGCATCTTAATTATGATGCACACACTTTGAATCAAAAAGTTTAAATTTTACTTGTGCATCAGCAAAGTTACCCACCACTTTTAAGAACAACATTTCGATTTTATTCCTCATCCATTCTTTGGCTGGCATCATTTTTATAAACAATATCGTTTATCTGAATTGCTTTATGGTGTGAATATCTAAAAGAAGGGGATGTCTATAATTATGTCCAGTCCTGGAAAGCGATGAAGTGCAATCTGTTTTAAATAGTAGATCAAGCTGCTGATATGTTTCTTTTTCCCCCTCCCTTTTTTTCATTTAAAGTAAGAAAGTTCAGGACAGTATCACATTCATCTCTCCTTTTTCAAACGACTTACTTTTGCCTGCAATACTCAAAATGATTCTGCTCCCTTGATCTTAATTAAAGCTGCCTGAAAAGACTGCTGAAGGAATCTTTGAATCTGGCTTTAAAAAAAAAAAAAAAAGTTATTAGGATTTGTTGTCTCGTTTTTTATTATTTTATTGATAGGATTATAATTTATGGATTGTGACCTACCCTTGGAGCCTTTTTAAACTGAAAGGTAGCATTGAAATCACTTGACTGTGATTCCTGCATTGCAGGAGTTTAGACTAGATGATTCTTTGGGTCCCTCCCAACTATACAGTTCTGAGTCTACGACACACTTTGCAGGGGGCAAACCTATTAGCTACAAAGAATCGTCATAGCAATCCTATGCATCAGGCTGGGCAATCTGGGGTCCTTGGGCTGCACAAGACCCAATATGAAAAGTCATCTGCAAGCAATTAGTTCAGATCATATTCCTTCTATGTGCAGCCCTCCAGATGTGGTTGAACTTTAACTTCCATTGATCTAATGTGTAGAGATCTATCCATATTCTAATTAATTCAAGAGGGTTCTGGAAGCTTCTCTGTGTGAAAGAAACTGGTGCAAGCTGGAAGTTTCTGGCTGACACGTAAGTTTCTATTCTTCCTAGAAACAAGCAGAAGGTTCATAATGTTTGGGTTATTCCTTCAGAGAAGCTGAGTACAGCTGGCTTAAACTGGTTCTGTTATCTCTTTCTGTCAAGGTCATGCTGACTATAATAATAAAGCCAGAAGGAGCGTGGGTTTTCTTTCATTCTATCTCTCTTTCCTTCTGGCGTGGTGTTCTGTATATAGTATGCTTAGTGTTAAAGTTTTAGTCTTATTATAAGTCACTGTAAGTTTAAATTAAGTCTGCTGCAACTGGATTTCTTATGGACAGTGCCAATCCTGAATGTATTGGATTTGTGACCATTTGCCTTCAGTAGCAGTAAAGCTCTGCTGGATGAAATATTAATTGCCTCTGGTCTATTTTCAGGAATCCTGCAACGTGTTTAAGTTTTTACTCTGCTGACTATACGGTAGAATCTGCTCTGGATCAATATGAGTAGAATTCACGTCACCATCAGCCCCAGGCAACATGGCCAGTGGTTGGAGATGATGGAAACTGTAGCCTAAAACAGCTGGATAGCTCAGTTGGTTAGAGAATGATGCAGATAACACAAAGGTTGCAGGCATGAGCCACGTAAGGGATAGCTGCATATTCCTGCATAGCAAGGGGTAGGACTAGATGGTCCTCAGGGTCTCTTCCCACTCTATGATAATGATCTGGAGGGCGCTGTATTAACTACCTGAAGCTGGAGATAAGGGCAGAGAGTGTGGAGTCAGCAAGGGACTGAAGACAGGGACAGCAGACTAAGAAAAGGGGAATAAGAGAGGTGGGACTTGAGAAAGCAGAGACCCAAGAAGGAGCTCTGGGAAAGTCAGCTGAGAACAGGAAAGGGAAGCTAGGAATGGCCTCACCCTCTCACTCGGCCACAAACCATGGTCATCTTTCAGTAGGTCAATTTATGCTTTCTAGGCTAGGTAAGGAATTAATTGGTCTATAGGAGCAGTGCAAGAAACACAAGGATCCCTGCAGAAGCTTTTGGAGTCATCATTCCAGGTGTCTCTGCTAGAACATCAGCAGTTTTTGACTAGTTGAAGGAGCTGTGTAATGTGGGATCCATGAAGAAGATGGCAGCTCTGGGGAATATCACTGCATGACAAAGAACTGAAGCACGTATTCAACGAGTCTAGAGCAAAGTAAACTCAGGAGTCAACGGCTGAAACAGCCCATGCTCAGAATTGCAGTTTATTATTTTTAAGCCATCAACTTATATAGATCAAACCATCCACATAACACAAAATAAGTAAATCATTTTGCACAAAGGTACGACAAGACACCGCAGTTCTGATAAAAAGGGGCAAAGTCATGACGCTTCACTAAAATTTTATTTCCTAAAGAAAGGAATCAGTTACCAAAAAGGGAGAGTTAATGCACGACTTTTCACCCTCCACGACCATCACAAATGAACAATGACAGATAAATACCTCCAGGTAGGGCTGAGGAAAACTCCTTTGAGAAGCACTTGAGAGTCACTGTGGACAATCCTGAGCTATGTGGACCAATGGTCTGGCTCTCTATAAGGCAGCTTCATAAGAAGATATAAATGGAAGGCTGTAAATGTTCAGTAATTCAGGACAGGGTGGGATCTTCAATCTTGCAATGCAATCCTATGCATTTCTACTCAGACTTAAGCCACATTGCATTCAGCGGGGTTTACTCCCAGGCAGGTGTGTGCAAGAGGGGGTGCCAACAGTTTTGAGGCCAGTGGGCACGTTTAGAATTTTGAGAAAGTGCCCTGAACACCAGTCACAAAATGGCTGCCATGGAGAATGTGACACAAAATGGCTGCCACATATTAAAGAGCAGGAAAGGAGACAGGGCCACAAAAAGGTGCAGCCATGCTCCCCCATCAGCCATACCCATCAATGGGAAAACGGCAGCTACATCAGCGACCACAGTACTTGTTCACCAAGGCACCCATGGGCTCCAAATTGGTGAATTCGACAGTGGAATTTGCTGCCAAGGAGTGTGGTGGAGTCTCCTTCTTTGGAGGTCTTTAAGCAGAGGCTTGACAACCATATGTCAGGAGTGCTCTGATGGTGTTGCCTGCTTGGCAGGGGGTTGGACTCGATGGCCCTTGTGGTCTCTTCCAACTCTATGATTCTATGATTCTATGATTCTATGAATTCTGAGATGGTGACAGATCTAAAATCTTCTAGTGAACTTCATCCTTGAGTGAGGATTTCAACATGGGTCTCCCCAGCTCTATGAATGAATTTACTTTATTCGGTCACAGACCAGCATAAGCAAAACATCTAAATAAATAGCATAACAGTATGAATCTAAGCGAATAATTATTAAATACATGGGAGCAAGAACCAACCGTAGATGAAAACATATACATAGAATATTTGATTAAGCATAAATAATGGGTGAATAAAAACTTAGAAGAAAAATGAAAAAAGACCAGTTAAAACAGCTATATGGGGTGGTGCTTCAATGATACAGATCTAACAATATGGGCCTTCATTTTAGGACTGATTTGTAGCATAGACCATCCTTTGACGAGTATCTATTATGGCAGCGCAGGATCTGGCAACTGAATATGTGACTTCTGGGCTTCCGTCCTGTAGTAATAGGGAGATGTTGTCTTGTTCTGAACACCCTGGGAATTTATATAGGATGGGCTGGATAAACCTGGCTCGAATGTCTATATAATACTGGCAATGAAGAAGGGCATGCTCCGTTGTTTCCTGCTGCCCAGAGCCACAGGGGCATTTCCTCTCTTCGTAAGGTACCCTAAAACGGCCTTCCTGAATTGCTGAAGGGAAGGCCTGACAACAGGCCAAGGTGAAAGCCTTTCACTGTTTTGGTATTTCGAGATTAGCTATGTATGGCATTTGGGAAGTCAAGTATCTTCTAGTTTCACTAATTAGAAATTTTGGGGACCTGGCTAGGTCTACCTGTCGTTTAGTATCTACCACTCGCTGTTTAATACTGTTCCTTGCTTGTTCATACCCCATGTCAAGTAAGATCTATGGATTAAATCCTAAAATTGTTATTATATTTTCCACTGCTTGTTTCCATGTTGTTTGGAAATCATCTTTAATGGTCAAGAAAGCAAGGCCGCTCGGAAGGAAGGCTAGTCTCAGCCAGAAATTAAGAGTGGCGGTCCCCAAGTCTAATCTAAGCAATTAACAATGATACCACACTGACTCTCATTGATGAAATGCTGCTTCATAATAATAATAAAAATAACAAAATAAAAACACAGTAATTTTAGAACTGACAATAAGCCACTGTCAAAGCAAGAGTGAAGAAGTTTAACCTTAAAATCACCCTTTAGGGAACAGTTTAATCAAATATCATGAGAGCTAGAAACCTAGTGTAAAATCTCACAAGTCTATTAGAGTTTCTGGTTTTAGGCCTCTAGAAAGTTCTGCATGTGCTAATCTAATGGTAAAGCTGGAAGAACTGGCCACCGCTGTTCTACAGCTTAATAACCTAGCAATAAATCTGAAACTCTGAAATTGAGAAAAATGTGAAAATATTAGGTATGCTATGTGATCCAAGACACAAAGCTGTCAGGTGTGGGATGCTTATTCCCAACCCTATATGTAATAATGTTAAATTTCATTAATCAGGGTATAACAGAAACCCTGAAAATATAGAATCAGTGGTTTCATCAGCCACCAGCCCATTTTGAGAGCCATTCAAAATCTGAAGCCAAATCTCATCATCTTCAGAGAGGTGAACCAGCATCGATCCAGAGACCTGGGAAACACTCTGTGGAGGCTGCCTTACGCTTGATACCTGCATAACTCTTTCACCGTTATGGAAGAGCGCCGCCCTCAGCGCCTTGCCAGAAACACTCAGGAGATAACTGAAAGAATAGACTCCTCCAGTGCTGGCAGTAAATATGCCTGATTCCTCATGATATGCTTCATTTTCATTCAGGGAAACCTTTTCAAATCTCACTGGGGATCCTGGCAATGGGAAGCTTCTCCTTTTCTGAAGGCCAGCTGAAAAGGCTACAGGTTCAACCGATCTGCAGTCCCCCTTCTGGCCCTTTTCGCCTCTTCGGCCTGGAAGTCCAGTTAGCCCTTCTCTCCCAGGGGCACCAACTGTTCCCTGCATCCCTGCATCTCCTTTTAAACCAGGAGCTCCTTGAATTCCTGGTGGCCCTCCTGGTCCTATCTCCCCTTTCTCACCTGCTATGCCTCTTTCTCCTTTCTCCCCAGGATCACCTTTCTGTCCAGTGTCACCTTTTGGACCTGGTTCTCCATGTTCCCCTGTGTCTCCCTTTGGCCCCGGAATTCCTATGGGGCCAGGGCTCCCAACCTCACCTTTGTCACCTCTTGGAAAAGAAAAATCGGTAGAGCCACCATATTGTTCTGCCTGATGAGGGGACACGGGTCTACCTACAGCAGCCCTGGATCTGGAATCCCCCCTTTCCGGTGTTCTGTCTTGTCTGACGTCTACCAAAGACCGCAGTTCTCCTCTTCTCCTAGCAAGTCTCAGCACATCTGGAAGGAAACAGAAGCAGATCTTTATCCACTGTCATATAAACTGAGAAAAATTCCCAATCAAAACATATAGCAAAATTGCACTAAGCTCAAGTATAAACAGTAACATGCTTACATACACACAGGACCAAGCGAATCTCAACTAGCATCACTGCAGGTCCTCAATTATGTTCCAGTTTCTCCTCTGTAAAACAGCTATAGGGGAGGGGGCACTTCAGTGGAAGTGCTTTGTATACAGAAGGTCTCAGACTCAATCCTTGCATCTTTCCTTTAAAAATTCTGGGGAATGTCGCTGCATGAGACCCTCTGAAGCTATTGCCACTTCACAGTAGACAGATCTGGGCTTGATGGACAAATGGTCTTACATGGTGCAAGGCAACTGTCTGTGTTCCATGGGGACAAGAAACAGACTACAAAATCTATTACTATAGACCTCCCAGTTGGGTTGGTCCTGTACCTGCAGCCAATGCAGCAAAGTGCAGTTCTTTGATCTACACCGACACTATTCAAGGAGGAGCAACAACAAATAGTACTGCTATATAACTGAAATGCCATAACCCAGCCCTTAACTGAACAACTTCTGCCCAATGTGTTCTACCTTCACCAGCCTATGAGTAACCCTTACATATTGTTTTGTGGTGGGTGCTTAAATCTAACACCCCAAAGGTCCAAGAAACAGCTTTGAATTTTACAGTTAAATGTATGCAGGAAAAGATGGTACGAGCATCATGGTAACTATCATCATACTTTGGGTCAATGACTGTAACCATAGGAGTCCCTGAGATCATATTTAAAGAATCATTAAAATGTACTCATTTATATGATACTCTGGTGTGTCTCCAAATGAGCCATTACAGCTCCGCGTGGTGAATTATGCACCCCTCTAGAAAGGATTGTGCTTTTCTCAATTACTGCACAGGAGGTGCCAAACACATTCATATTCCACACTGAACTGAGCACCACCAACACTTCTGAAACATAATGGTTAATGCCAGGACATGAATCCCCTGGCATTTTCACATGAGGCTGAAACCACCTTTGAATATATCTTGTGCTGTTTGTGTTAATGGTAGGGATGCAATACAATTAAGAACATTTTAATCGATTAATCGTTAGGTTAAATGTGCCTACACTTACATACGTGTCTAACCAATAGTTCTGATTTTGCATCACAACAGAAATCATCTTAAAAGATACAATCTTCCCTAGGTAAGGGAAGGGGATTTATTTAAATGAAGCTTGCAGTCTGCAGTTTTATAAGCATTTCCAAAAAGGTGTGCTGGTTTAATAATATATTAAAAGTTTTTAAAAGCAATTAGTCTGGGAGATTAATCAATTAATCTCCCACAGCCACAGTTCATAGCATTCATGCAGAAGCAAAAAAAAGAGCATTTGCAAGCTTCATGAACATTCTGCCCAGTGTAGATCAAAGAGCTGCTTTAAGCTACACGTGGGAAGCTTAAACCCCCACCATGCTTTACTAGCTGGGCTGTAGTTCAGTGGAAGAACTCATGCATTGCACACACAAGGTCCCAGTTTCAATCCTCAGCGTCTCCAGGTAGGGCTAGGAAACACTCTTGGTTCAAAACCCTGCAGAGCCTACTGAGGTGGATGGACCAATGGTCTGACTCAGGTCCCATCTGCACAATACATTTAAAATAGTATCTTGTCCCTTTAAAGAACTCCCTGAATCCTGGGGAGTGCAGTTTGTTAAGGATGTTGAGAGTTCTTGGGAGACCCCTATTCTCTTCCATTCACAGAGCTTTGATTCTCAGAGTGGTATAAAAAGCAATGGTTCTTCCCAGGGAACTCCGGGAATTGGAGCTCTGTGAGGGGAATCGGGGCTTCTTAACAGCTCTTAGCACCCTTAATAAACTACAGTTCCCAGGATTCTTTGGGGGGACACGTCATGACTGTTTAAAGTGGTAAGATACTGTTTTAAATGTATAGCACAAATGGAGCCTTAAGTCAGATGCCCTGGCCTAACACTGAAGATCCAGAATGCAGTCATTTTTAGTCTTTTAGTCTGTTAGTCTGTTGTTTATCCCAATAGTTTTCCAACTTTCTACTTCCCAGGAACTCTTCCCACATTGACATTAGTCAAGAATCTCTTGCATGTCTGCTGCGGAGACCCTGTGGGTTGCAGAGGAGTCTGGGAAATGTTTTAGGCTACACACACATACAAAGTTCATGAAGAACATTGGCCATTCCTAGTGGGCCTCACTACTCCTCTGCATATACCCAGGGCTGTTTGTTTGTTTGTTTGTTTGTTTGTTTGTTTGTTTGTTTTTTGTAGCCGGAACTCTCTGGAACTCAGTTCTGGCACATCTCAGGTGGGTACCATTCTAAGCAAACAAGGGAGGTGTTCGTGGTGAGTTCCAGGACCTCTTTTTCCTAGAAAAACAGCACTGCCCCAGATTGCTGCAGCTGAACATTTTGTAGTACCATCAATAGTGGAGGACAAGCTTTCCTGAACAGGAACTTGGCAGTTGTTACTGAGGTTCCCATTGAGGAAGCCTTGCTAAGATTACAAGGAGCCCTGGGATTTCCCAGAACACTATTTATCTCAGTCACCTCACGCTGTAGTTACATCTGTCCAAGTCACGCTGCTTCATTGCAGGTGCAACACAGGTTCAGCAGAGTCTTGGGGCTTATTATAAAATTGCAGATGGTCTGCTACCAAATACTACCAGATTATGAGAAGGAGAACATGGGTGTTATGGGTCAGGCAGTTCTGCTGGTGTTTGGTGCTCTACACACCGGCAAGTTTGTGTGCGAGCCGCGAGGGACACAATTTGTCCATTTACCCGCCGCTGAGTATCTCTTTACTTCACTGCACAGAGCATTTGGATTTGGGGGGATTTTCAGTATGATACTGATCCGGTTGTTTTTAATTAGAAAATAAATGAATGGCGTTCAGTTTTGTTTTGTTTTTTTGTTTTTAAAAAAGGAAAGAAAGAAAGAATGAAAGAAAAAGATTTTGGCAACCTGAAGGCATTAAGCGATACAATTACCCGCATTCTCTTTTTCACCTTGGTCTCTCTTTTGTCCTTCGGCTCCTGGAATTTTACAGAAGCAGCGTCGCTCAGTATCGGTGCTGTTTCCCTTTGGTGCATTTGAGAAGGCAGGATCTAAGCGGTCGCCAACTGCAAGGCCTTTGTTAGTCGCAGAAAATGGAACCAGGCGGGTAGTACGGTTTTCCTCCCTGGAAACACCCATAGCTGGGGAGGTATGCTCTGTGTTTGGAGCAGTGAACAATTCCAGGGCCACCTGTTGTCTGGATCCAATGGCAGTGGTGGTTGTGGTGGTGGCCCCTGGTTCCAGAAGGTTCTTCTTGCTTCCACCCACCCCGTTAAAGAAAGAGGTTGCCGCAGGTGTCACGGGGATCTGGGAACTCGCTCGACTCCCACCATCTGTGACCAGATCAATTACATTGGTCTCTGGGTCCTGATCAGGGGGAACAGTGAAGGCTTGTTTAGGGTCTTCAGTTTCAGCGACACCGCTGAGTGACTCCATTGTGAAGAGAGGGTAGGGAGAAAAGCTGACGATGGCTGTTGTCCTCGCAGGGCTCCAGAGGGCGCTGGAGAGCAGAGCTTGGATCAGGAGTATGGGAAGCATGTCTGAAAAGGGGCAAATATATACATAAATACTGAAATGAACGTGACTGAAATAAATTAATATTATAAACCACAGTTGGGAGGAGGGCAGTCGTGTTGTTTTGCCGGGATTGTGTTGATTATGCCGATTCACAGGGCTCATGTTGTTTTAAACTTTAACAGCCTCAGACCACCAAGAACCAAGGGTAGCATGATGCTCAGGATGCCAGACTTGGACCAGAGATGCCATGGTTCTAACTCGGGGAAGAAAGACCAGAACATCTGCCTTGCATGCAGACAGTCCGAAGTTCAATCCCTTGCATCTCTGTATAATAATAATAATAATAATAATAATAATAATAAATATTATTTATACCCTGCCCTCCCCTCCCCGGCCAGAGCCGGGCTCAGGGCAGCTAACACCAGTAAAATTACAGTAAAAACATAACGGGGAAAAAACCAATTTAAAATACAGGTTAAAATGCAATTTAAAATGCAGCCTCTTTTTAAAAGTAGCCCATAGATCAAAACCATAAGGGGAGGGAAAACATAAGGGTCAGACTGAGTCCAAACCAAAGGCCAGGCAGAACAGCTCTGTCTTGCAGGCCCTGCGGAAAGATGTCAAGTCCCACAGGGCCCTAGTCTCTTGTGACAGAGCGTTCTACCAAGTCGGGGCCAGTACTGAAAAGGTCCTGGCGCTAGTTGAGACCTAACCACCTTGCGATTTGGGACCTCCAAAATGTTGTCATTTGTGGACCTTAAGGTCCTCCGCGGGGCATACAGATGTTTCCTGTCTCAAACCCTCGAGGGCCACTGCCAGTCAGAGCAGACAGTGTTGAACTTGATGGACCAATGGCCTGACTTGGTGTAAGGCTCCTTTCTATGTTCCAGGGTAACTCCTGCTCAGCCATGGAAGGTCACTGGGCCACCCTTCTCAGTCTAGTCTGCCTCGCAGGGTGGTTGTGAAGGAGGGAAATTCTGTGCCGCCCCCTTGAGCAAATTCAAGATGGACTTGGGCTGAGCAGTCCTTGAAATACAGAATAGTCCTCCAGGGCATCTTAGAAGGGATAAAGGACTCTCCCCCACCCTTCCTTTACTGAGGCATTCCCCTTCTGTGCTATAGAAAGAGGCTAAAAAAAAAAAGGTAAAGGACCCCTGACAGTTAAGTCCAGTTGCAGACAACTCTGGGGTTGCGGTGCTCATCTCGCTTTACAGCCCAAGGGAGCCGGAGTTTGTCTGCAGACAGTTTTTCCAGGTCATGTGGCCAGCATGACTAAGCCGCTTCTGGCACAATGGAACACCGAATCCAGAGCAGCGCACGGAAACACCGTTTACCTTCCCGCCGGAGCGGTACCTATTTATCTACTTGCACTTATTGGCGTGCTTTCAAACTGCTAGATTGGCAGGAACTAGGACCAAGCAACAGGAGCTCACCCCATCGCGAGGATTCGAACCGCCGACCTTCTGATCGGTAAGCCCAAGAGGCTCAGTGGTTTAGACCACAGCACCGCCCGTGCTCTAAATCTGAGCATTATATAGTTATGGGGCAGGGGGGTCACACAGTTTTACATACTTTTTTATATAATATTTTTATTCATTTTCAAATACAAATTTATATAACCAATCTCAGAATTTATCACATAATCTTCTTTTTTTTTTTACTTCCCCCAGTTTCTCTGCCAATCTTCCGTTTTGTTTATTTATTCACACATTTTCTAATTTTAATATTGTCTTTAAAATATAACCTCCCCCACACAGTTTTACATACTGAACCATTCCATATATAAAGTGCAAGGGGGGGAAATTTAAAACACACACAAATTCCCACACCACTCCAATACCCTTCTTCTTCCAGGATAATTATTATAAATTGCTAGGGGCTTGAGCAGGCCAGTTCCTTCTCTCCACCATCCTTTGTGTTCCTTTTCTGGAAGCGTGGGGCACCCTAAAATTCCATTTCTAAGCTGCTTATTTCATTCATTTTATTTATATCCCACCCTCCTTCCAGAAGGAGCCCAGCGTGACAGACCCAGCAATGATAAAATATTAAAAATACAACAGCAACAAAACAACAACACAGCAGCTACTAAAACAGTTTAGAACACTCTAAAACAATTTAAAACAGTCTAGAAACAAGGGGTGCCAACTTGATAAAATATTGGGGGGGCAGGTAAGCCCTACCCCACGTAATCAGTCACGTGTTACAGGGCATGCACATCATTTGAATGGCAATGCCTATCAACTAGGGGGGGCCTCTAATATTTTATGGGGACCTTGGCCCCTAGGAGTTAGCTCTTACACTAGAAACCACCTAAAACACTCTAAAGACTACATTAGCCATGTTATAACGTTATAAACATGCGGCACTAGATGGCGCTGTAGAGCACAAAACTTTGTCTATGCATTTTACATAGAGTTTTTTTCTTCATTTGTTATAATGATTTTATTTAAAACTTATTTATAGCTGGGGGGGGGGTCCCTGTGTGTAGATCCAGCCTAGGAAATACTTTAAAATGTTCTCAGTCGGTGATCTCAGGGTTGCTAGGAACAGTGCTTTTCTGCCGTCAAATGCCTGGGTACCCTGGAATGTTTTTTTTAAAATTTCTCCTGAAAGTCAACAATGAGGGAGACAGATGCACCTCACTAGGGAGGGCTTTCCACAAACTGGGAAACTCCACCAAAAAGGCCCTGTCATGGGTTACTGCCAACTACCTAGACTCAATGGACCTTTTGTTTAAACACCAGTCCATCTGACAGCCCACCAACGGTTTGATTGTACAACGTGGAAGCAAAATCATTCTGAATTCCTGTAGGGGGGGGATGGTTAATAAGCACAAGTAGTAAATTCAAGATGGATGGTTTACCTGGAAGGAGTCTTCAGAATACTCAGATGCTTTCCCCACCGCATCCGTGATACTGAAATGGCAAACTGAGCTGACTTAAATACTAAAACCTCAAACAAAGACCACGTATTTTGTACAATAAAGAAAAGCATGCAGGAAGGGCTAAGCTACTCTTTGGTATAAATGATTGCTTCCTGGAAAAGCCCGCAAAATGCACTGTTTTGTTGTATTTTAATAAATAAAACTTGTTCTTAATGACCTCTGTTGTCTGAAAAGATAGGTTAGTTTTCCTAACCGGTGATTGCTTCTCAATACCTGTTATTAAGAGGAATAAGGAGCAACTGTTTCCACAGAACCTCCCTCTTTTTCGTTTCTTTCTCGAAAGAAATTAACTTTTTAAGGATTAGATACAACATTTCCAGATGTATTAAAGACTGAAACTAAAGCGTTACATCAAGAATCATTTTTAGCTAACTGTGCTTAGAACTGGTTGCAGCCCTTTGTTTGGGGAGAAGAGGACAGATACAGGGGACCCAATCCAAAGACGTGTCCTAGCATGGTAAAGGGGGGGGATTTTAACCCTTTCTGCTCCCATGCCATTTCACTGCTCAAATTCCCTGCTACCAAAGCCACTACCAAGGCTATTACTTCTCTTCAATGCTGCTATTCGGAGGTGAATGACAGCTGGGTAGACAGGTTTTGGAAGAAAAACAGCTCAATAGAAGTTCAAATAATAATAATAATAAATCATTCCCCCATCCCGTACAGTTGCACTCTGTATCAGAGGTCCCCTTGGCTAATTTTTTTTCTGGGAACGAACACTAGTTGAAAATGGTTTCAGCCAAAGGTATTGCAAAAAAAGGAAAAGAAATGGAGAGGAGGCTGAAAAAATAGGCCAGAAGTCATGGCTTAATTATGAGAAGAGCAAGTGATCCCCAGTTTGTTTTATTATTTATTTACTTACTTACTTACTTACTTACTTATTTCATAGAATTTATATACTGCTTGATTGTAAAATAAAATAAAATAAATAAAATAAAATAAATGAAGGCGGTTTGCAAAAAAAAAGATAAACAGTAAAAATGTTAGCAAAAACAAAACATTCAGAAAATTTTGTTGTTGTTGTTTAGTCATTTAGTCGTGTCCGGCTCTTCGTGACCCCATGGACCAGAGCACGCCAGGCATTCCTGTCTTCCACTGCCTCCTGCAGTTTGGTCAAACTCATGCTGGTTGCTTCAAGAACACTGTCCAACCATCTCGCCCTCTGTCGTCCCCTTCTCCCTGTGCCCTCCATCTTTCCCAACATCAGGGTCTTTTCCAGGGAGTCTTCTCTTCTCATGAGGTGGCCAAAGTATTGGAGACTCAGCTTCAGGGTCTGTCCTTCCAGTGAGCACTCAGGGCTGATTTCCTTCAGAATGGGTGAGTTTGACCTTCTTGCAGTCCATGGGACTCTCAAATTAAAACCAGCAATAAACTAAAAACACTTTGGGATTCTAGATATCTAGGTAAGCATGTCTAAACAAAAAACATTTTTGGCAGGTGCCAAAAGGAGTTCAGTGAAGGCACCTGTCTGATATCCATTGGCAAGGAGTTCCACAGTGTAGATGCCAAAAAGATCAATTTCTTACAGATTCAGATTGGGTATGATGTGGGACCTGTAGAGTCTGGCTCAGTCCTCTCCCCGCATACACAACAGGGTTTCTCCCCAAATATGTGGAGGGAGAGCCTCAGTATTTGCCACAAGACCCCTGGTGTTTACATAATTCAGTGACAACAACAGTACGTCCTAAAATTCTATAATTGCAACAATAGGCAAAAGGAGTAC